GGTTTTCAGAGTTTAGCAGAGTTGCACTCTCACCATCTGACCTGAAAGATCACTCACCAAATGAACTGATTTCTCAAGAAGCTGAATTCATCTGGTCGCATATGAATCGGGGTTAGCCAAAAATAAACCCTTGCAGGTTGGGTGGAGGTCGAACAGACCCACTCACTTCTGACCTAACCTCACCTAACCCGCACACAAACGTCAAATATGTGATACTGACATAACTTATCCCATTCGTTATTAATTTTGATACTCATAAATCAGTTAATTAGGTTGGTCTTTTCATTTTTCACACACCAACTTAGCTGAAATGTAAATTCATCCATCATTTGCTTTCTCTTCATATTTTCTATATATGTAGACCTTCATAGAGATAATATGTAGATCATACAAAGACATTTTTTCAGATACAAACATTCATATTCAAATGAAATTCCTACGGTTGGAATGAATTTAACTATAACCGTAAGAATGTGTTTTCGTACTGCCATCCTACTGCCAGTATGTAATCTAATGGATTTACAAATTTATAAATTTCACATTTATAAATTAGGAAAAATTCAAAGTCAAACAATAACATCAAAAACAACGAGGAAAATCTAGGATTTACCATTTATGTGAATTATTCATGTGCCAGATACTGGGAAAATCCAGAAAAAAAACTCATATTTGTGAATAAGATAGTAGTAAGGCAATTGGATTTTGAACTTCCTTACAGCGGTATAACAGTTATTTTTCATGACCTTGACACAAAGCCTGAATTTTAAGTTTTTTCATTTTTTGCAGCTGACTGAATATTGAATTACATGAATTTTTAGGCATCCGTATCATCCGTATCAATCAATAACGAAGGCCCAATTTCAGATGTGTATTGAGTGGGACAGTCCCATTTTCCATTATTGTTGTATTTTCAAATTATAATACGCTTAATGGTGAATGTTTCAAATTCAATATTTGCTCTCAAAAAAATGAATTGATATTTCAACATCTATTCAAATTATACGATTTTTTTTGAAACTCTTCACGTCAATTATTTGTTTTTAACCTCGTTGCCCTCTCTTGAAAAATTTTCACAACCCCATTTACTATAAGTAGGTATCATATTTTGGTCCAAATCCAAACATGGTGATTTATAATTGCAAGTGAGTTTAATCGTTGGCAGAAACACTCGAAATGAAATGATTATCTGTAGTTACCCAAAAAGTTTTCAAGAAAGTCGTTCTTTTCACTGGCGGTTTTCTATTTTCCTTTGATTTTCACAAAAAAATCAAGTTCTGCTGATATATACAAAAAAATTCAAATTAAAATATACCACACATTTACAATTGATTTCATATGCAATTATGCATTTCATCTTGATACACATACATATTTTTTTGAATGCAACAAACATTTTTCTGTTATTTTTCAGCTCTTCATCAAAAGTCATGATGCGTTCCAAACCAGTTATTGATCCTTTTTTGGAAAAGTATGGAGTTATGCAGACTGTGAATGAAATAACTGCATACAGGTTGTTTCTTTGAAGATATGAATTTTGTTATTTAGATGCGAATTTAATTTTTTTCACTTAGACGTTTGTTTACGCGATTATCATCTATCTGAATCTATATACTGATTTGTCACATTTCAGACTCCTGGTGAATAAAAATTTTCCTGAATCTAAATTTCTACTTATTTCCCTAACCCTCAACTCAAAATCTTCAACCATCATACACGTTCATTACCTTATCAGTTTTCACCAGTAAAAATTGTTTCAGTTTTCACCAGTAAAAATTTTATATGACGTGTTTTCTCAAATCGTTTGTACAATATTCATGGATACCTTCTTTCAGGCAAGGGCGAGTGTCAAACATTGTATAAATTGATGGACGTAGCCGTTAACTACGTGATGTATCATCATGAAAAATGAAAAATAAAACTTTCTATGATGAAAAACACAGAAAGTCTGGTTCAAATAGGATCACCATTTTGTTCGCCACAGTGTGTATAAGTCTTTCAGTATGTTCTTTTCAATTTTGATTTCGATGTTTTGAACAAGTCAAGTTTTTGCCCATTAATTATACTCGGGATTCCGGAAAATCTCTCTGAATGTGCATTTCCGATCGGAACATAATGAATTCATTATCTTATCTATAAATGTCTACAATTTATTCATCGAAATTATAAGGTAATTGATAAGACACCATGAGTCACATTTGAAGCTGAAAACAGCATATAGTTTTCATATTGTCATTACATCAAAGTATCAAAGAAAAACAAAAATTTGATAAGGCATTAGATGACGAAATAATTTATCATTAGAAAAAATAGTTTGGTAATATCACACTACTTTTCGCAGTTTGCGTTTAACTTTATACTTTTCATAAACCTCTGTTTACTTCACATTCCCTACAAATAGTATGATACAAATAGGACACATTCAACTAACACACCAAAGAATACTTTTTAGGAATGTACATGCGTCACCTCACCTCTTCTAGATGAATAGTTTAGGAAAAAGCTAATCTAAAAAATTGTGGATATCGAAGTAAACGAAAATCAAATCATACCTTTCACAGCTAACTAAAAGAAATCAAAGTAGACCAAATATTTTTCTGTAGCTACCTTTGGTCTTTCTGGTTGTTCATTCCATTCGAGTCAATGAGTAATTAACATTCAGCAGTATAGGAAAAAGTTACCAAGAAAAAATAATCATAATATTTTCATTTCCCGAACTCGTTCAAGGTTCACAAAACTGGGTGATGATTTCGATTGTTTTCATTTTTAAACTTCCTGATTTTCTCAAGAAAAAAGTATTACTTTGCTTTGCTTTGCTTTGCGTTGCTTTGCTTTGCTGGGCACTGCTCTGCTCTGCTCTGATCAGCTCTGCTTTGCTCTTCTCTGCTCTGCTCTGCTCTGCTCTGCTCTGCTCTGCTCTGCTCTGCTCTGCTCTGCTCTGCTCTGCTCTGCTCTGCTCTGCTCTGCTCTGCTCCACTTTGCTTTGTTTCGCTTCGCTTCACGCAATGAGCATTTGTCCTGCTGAGATTTCTTTCTCAGTGCGGCCAGCCGACATGATATTAAGATTCGAGTGGTCTGGATAGATTCTACGGAGTTTGAAGAGAAAATGTCGGTACTTCATCCGTTCCTTCTCTTTTTTGGAATATATTTGTCCCAAAACTCCACGATGAATATCATCTTACTGTGATGGACGAGAAGAACAACATTAGGCTTATTAGCTTGTATCAGCCTGAGGGTAGGAAAATGAATAATTCCATTATTATATCCCACAATGGATTCAATAGCGGTGTATCGTCCATACCGTGAAAATACCTTTAGGTACATACTGGCCTGAAAGGCAATGAGGCTGGTGACTCCCTTGCAAAGAAGGGTGCTGCAAGCAGATTTATTGGGCCAGAACCTGTCGTTGGCATCGCTTCAAGCTTTGCCAAACATACATTGAACACTTGGATGGCAAGATGATTTATGGACTCTGGCCAAAATCTTTCAGGATTGGCTCATTTCAAGGCGTTCACTTACCCTTCGAAGCTTGATACAGAACAGTTGTTGAACTACAGCAGGGATGAACTACGATGTCCAACAGGCTTTCTCACAAGTCACTGTCGTCTGACTCATTATATGAAGGGATTCGGACTATCGAAAGACAGTGTGTCGCCTCTGTCTGTGAAATGATGAAACAGCACATCACCCACTTTGTCCCTGCCCCGCTGGGGCTCGAATCAGGTTTTCAGAGTTTGACAGAGCCGCACTTTTACCATCTGACCTGAAACATCACTAACCATATGAACTAATCGGCTTCGTTGGAGAGCTGTGTTTATTTGGTCGAGTGTGACCTAACGTAACCTACTTTCGCAGGACCCTGAATAATCACAAAACAATGAGACATCTAAGCAACTTCTCAGGTTTCATATACCCTGTAAGATCTGGGTTTATTGACGGCGTGATATTTGCGTGGTTGGCAGGAAAAGTGACAGGTGATGTGGACGCATGGAAAGTAGGGTTTTGACGAGGCGAGGAAAGTGACAGATGACGTGACAATTGATGTGGAACTGTTTTATATCAGAGTTCGCGCGTGGGTTCAATTTTTGTTTTTGATAAAAGAAACGTCAAAGAACATGTCTACCAAGCGACAAAAAAAGTCGACATAGCGTCAAAAACGTCTATAGAGCGTCGATAAAACAAAATTTTGAAAAGCGTGGAATGCCTGCACAAAAGCGTCAAAACGTCGTTTCGCACTCATGAGGGCACTCATCATCGTTGAATTAATGCACACAGAGGTTCCGATCGGTGGTATGAAAACTGAACCTCCGTAAGAAAAAGCATGGGATTTCATTCCCGAAGCGGCCTGGCCTATTTACTTTGGTGAATGGACTCGAACTTTCTGACCCACCGCGTAGTCAAGATCGTCAACCGGCAACTCCACCAGATTATCCAACATAGCCGTTCTGACTGGTGAACAAGCGAACTTTTTGATGGTTAATAAGTATCCCGCGATTCGCCTGAATGTATCATGTTTCAGACCGTCGGCTAGACTATAAATTTCGGCGCGAGACAAATATTCTAGAGTTACTTCTGACTCACTCAAAACTCCGTCTGGTGGGTACAGAAACGTTCTAATTTACGATATCTTGATATAAGCCTGGGTGGAAAAACCTCACATGCATAGATTTTTTATATATTCCGTGTTTTTTAGGAAATTTCGTGTTCATTTCAGGAACAACTGATTTATCTCCCTTGTTTCGATTAGTTCTTTTTGAAATTACTGCTTTATGATATATTATAGGATAAGAGAAATGACTTGTGTCTAATTTTTAGTAAGACTTTAATTTTTTACGACCAGTTCCGGTTTCTTAAACCATTCTTAAGTAAACTCAACTCGAGAATGGTTAATAATTCAAAACCGATCGTAACAAATGAAAATTTAGTAAAAATCAAACAAAAGTTATTTTCTCTATCCTATACTGCACTAGAATATTTTTGTATATGACTTTACTTATTTTCAGATTTTTACCGAACTTTCTCGGTATTTTCATCTACCAAAACCTAAAAAACAAGAAAATTATAATGGAGAAATATATGGGTTATACGTTATGTATTACGTTATGCGTTACGTTACCAAGCGATTTATCCTCACTTCAAGAATCACACTAGGACTGGAAAACAGTGAATTCAACACCGTCAAATCGTAAGGTGTAGTTTATGAAATTACTATGGATTATCATCAAGTAACAGCCAAATCTATCAGAAAATTATTATATTCCATTTATTTCCACTGATAATATCATTTTCAAATTTAAAACAGATATTCCCTATTTATAGCATGGTACATCCATAAGTAACGGGTAAATCAATTCTCATGTAATGAGTTATTTTTCTGTAAAATTCTGAAAAACGTCCATTTTTCAAACTGAAATTTTTCAAGTATAATTTTACTGACAGCTCGTTCTTCAAATTTACAAGCATAAGAAGCGAACGTGCGATAACTTATTCAAAAACAGTTTTTAATTATCTATCCACCAATACACTGTGTTCAAAATAAAGAGGACGAGCATGGGAAAATTAGTAACCATCAGAGATACGGAGTTGTTTAATTTTGGAAAAGTTGGTATCTAGTTTCATTCAATCAAAAGTGAGATATTGATATTCTGACTACAATTTTTGTAATGTGACATTTATGTAGGTAAATGTTGAATAAATATGCCGATGATTGATGACTAATGAGTGGCATTTGATGAAAATAACCTCACAGTCTACACCTGTTTCATTACGATTGTTAAATCAAACCAGCATCATTCATAACAATAATAATTATGGGGTTGCTTATGTGACCTTCCAGTCTGTGTCATTTCGTATATTTATTCTCTCACATGAATTTTTATAGAGCTGAAATTAGTTTTATATTAGAACTTTATACGACACGATGAGTTATAAACATCATGGTTAATTAATTATCAGCAATTATATAAGTAATACTATAGTTATATGACGGAAAAAAATAAACGTATACCTAATAAAAGAATGTTTATTTGAAGGTGGTTGACAATGTTTCATGGGGCATTTCATCATCAATGAAATTGAAAAGAATAGCTGATATTAACAATATTAAAAAATTTCAAGCCAAGTACAAGGAAGAAGCAGATAAACACCTGTGAAGATCAACAAGGCACTGTCTATCTGCCATACATAGAAAACATATCGGAGTATCTGAGATCAGAAAAAGACAGCAGAGATCCACTCAAATCAGCGGGAGTTTACAGGATTTGATGCAGAATTCTGCAGTAGAATATGCACTGTCTGACGAGGAACACAAGATCTTGTTCGAAAATACCGAGAGGCTAGCAACGTCGAATAATTGTTCAATTGACTGGACTAATACTGCTGAAGAAGTTGAACGAGGAATATCGCTTTATCGATGAAACTTCGCGAGTAGTGTAGAGGAAGCTCGAAACGACTGAAAAACATAGTGCTTCGTGAACAAATCAATGGGTTAGAATAAAATGACTTTCACTACAACTTCATTATCAACAATTATAACAATTTCAACCTTAACCTTATCGAGAATGGAGATGTAATTAAAACTGCCTCGATACTTGTATCGACCTTACTAATTACGAAGTCATTCTCATATTGCGAATTCATCAAAGAAAAATCATTGAATTGCTACTTTCTAACCAACAACTAAATTTTTATATTCGAGAAGATTCAATGATGTTATATTCTTTCCCAAATGTAATACATCATAGCCAAGAGTCGACCTATTCTTCGTTTGCTAGGAAATTGTTCGTAAACGTTGAAAACGTTTTTCAGTCTGAAACAGAATGGATGGAAAATGTTTGAAATTATTGTAACTGGTACTAGTGACAACAGACTCTCAGATGCCATGGAAGTGAAGCATGAAGAATGACATTTTTCAATGAGAATTGGTAAATACCTAATACAACATCAAATTATAATTCTGAGGAGGAAGTTTATCCAGATGAGTATAAATTTCTGTAGATTGGTTGTGACGACTTAGTTATCTTCTGGCAAAACGCGCGTCGTGAAACTATATTATTGTTTTGGCGTGGGAAAAATTGTTTCATTAGATCCATTTCACATCATCCGAAGTGAACGAAGAAAAAAAATTGATTCAATTGAAGTTTGTTAGAAATATATTGGTTCTATTATCTTCTCAGAATATGTCAATATGTTAGATTATTTTTTTCACAACCATCAAGGGATGAATATATATTGAATTCAATGTTGTTCATCCAGAAAATATAAAAAATATACATAACAGTAGCGATATTCAGTATCTATTCACTTGGGTGTTCGTGCATGTTTCTGTCTATTTTATATTCATGATTACCACAGTCAAAAAATGCCAGAAAAATATATAATGTATGAAATTCAAGTCATGTAGGTGAGTGGTTTGTACAGTTTTCTAGTTCGAAAAGCGTTTAAAAAGCAGCCTTTGCAATTCCAGCTACAGAATGGCCCAAGACATATTGGTGTCCATTTCAATCCCTAACAAACTTATCGAAGCAGAAAGCAAAATTGTGTGTCCTGACATTTTTTTATCCGATTCGGAGACATTTATTTTCATGGAAAAAACCGATTTTAGGGTTTTTGAGGCATTGAAATAAACCTGGTTACTTCCACCCCAATTCGAAAGCACCTCTAGTTCCTCATTAAGATATGCAACCTTCTGCTGCCGATGAAGATGTGCATCCGCAGCCGATTTCCAGAAATGTTAATGGAATGACAAGAAAAGAGGGTTTGAAATAATGTGGATCCTTGCGAAACACCAGTGTTGCTGGTTGAAGTATTCGAGAGATATCCATCCATGGCCATTTGTAGCAAACGTGCCTTCTGGAAGCTGGAGAGCCATAGACAAAACATAATCCGACAAGCCAAAGTATCGAAGTTTGTTCAGCAAATCCTCATGTCGCACACGAACAGAAGCTTAATAACTATCAAGCGCAACAGCTTTTGACTTTTGTTTGAAAATCTGCTGGACTTGCTTAATTATTCGGTTTTTCAAGTAGTTATCATTCTTTTGGAAGAGGGTAGAACAAACAATAACTGAAAATTATCATTCGATGTTACTGACTTCTCTAGGAAAAGAATGATATGGTGGGATACTCCTGCACACAAATCACATATTGTCATGCAATTGATACCAGCAGATCTAGCTCGATACAATTGTCAATTCTTTCCTCAGCCGAGGTTTGAAGGGTTTTGAACTTTTTTCCGATGAAGGGGTGAGTGATAGAGACATGAAAATATTCATATAACACTTACTTGATTATTTTGTCATATAAGGAAACGTCTCTTTCGTATTCGAGGACGTTAATGTTCATAAATAAATTTGATTTTATCCAGCACTATGTTTTCACCTGTTTCACATTTTTGTGGCATTATTAATGAATTCTCCATTAGCTGCTGCATTTGAGTTACTCAATATAAAAATTACACATATTATAACGTAATTTCACACATAGAATTACGAAATGTATCAAATAACTTCGACTCTACACATTCATAATTGTGTGCAGAACCGAGATGAATATTTCACATTTCATTGTTCGAGTCCAAAATTTTCCAGATAACTGACTCTTATCTAAGTGCCATGCATATTTTTTTTAAATGATTTCATTATATTCTCACCGTTCTAAAATAAAAAGGGAAGGAAATAACGCTTTTCCATTAAAAATGCCCAATGTTAGCCATATTTCATTGTTATCAAGATCGTCATCATATTTCGACATTCGCCTACATGTGGGATTATTAGTATCAACAAGTATTTACAAGAAATACATATAAACCAAAGAAATATTTCGGACTTGTTGTTTACAAAATATAATTTTAATACCGATGGGAATTTCTAATACTGATAATTATTTAACAGGTATTTATCAAATCATTACCTAAGGTAGAGAATATTTCAAATATGTTGATTGAAAACAAGTTTAACTTTTTGAATCACTTACTGGTGGGAAAATTTTTTTTCATTCTAATAATAACGCCGAAGTGATATCAGAATTTTTCTCTACAGGGTAAACTGAGCCTTGGTTTTTTACTTTCTGTCCATAACAAAACAATAATATTAGTAGGGTAGGGTGAAAAATGAAAATTATATGAAATTGTTGTATATGTAGAACTTATTTCAAGGGAAGTCAAAATATACATAGTTCTACCTCGATTTTATTTTTTTCAAGATGTTTTAAAAAAATTGACTTTTTAAAAAAATTAGACGAAACAAAAGTGTAAGAGAGAAGAAATATGCAGTGGCGTATATGCGATACCAATATTAGATGAAAATAGAAAGATGAAATTTAGAAATGTTCAAGGATTGCAAATCTGTTATTTCGTAGTTATCATCCAATCATATGATTCATTGTATCGAAATTCGAGTACATACAGGAAAATCTCGTGAACGGTAAGAGATATAAATAACTATTTAAATCCTTTTTTGAGTACTACTGAATATTATTGAATTTTATTATCTGCTGTATTTTTACTTGCGAAAAATTTATATTCATACTTTTTGTTATAGGAACTTTTGATGAGCGATCTGAATATGTTCATGAATATTTCATACAGAGTGTCGCCTAAATTGGATCACTCCCTACTTACATACAGAGGTATATCTACAGTTACGATATTTCTGAGAGTTACGATATTACTGAGAATTGCGGTAATTTGATAATCATTAGGTGGATTTAATTGTTTTATTCAAGGCCCTCATAATCGTCAAACGAAAGCAGAATTTACTCTCTTCATGTACCAGAGTTTATCGTTTTCGAAAACTTTGATGACTTTTATTTTCAATTTAATGAAAAACTACTCGACAAACTTAAGTGAAATGATTTGAGTTTGCAAACTTCTAATTTCATGACTAATTTTTTTTTTCAATGCATCGCCGTACAACCTCCAAAATTTCATATCTCGTCCCATTCGGTTTCACGAATATTTAGTGAGACCTATAATTAAGAGTCAACCTATAAGGAGATTATTAATATTTGATTGATTCCAGAGTTTTGGCCGTTATTATGAGCCTATTTTGAACAGTAATATCTCAGTGAATACTGATTCAATTTGATCTAAATAAGCAAAATTTGAATCAGTACACTTTTGCAGACGTAACATAAGTCGATTTATTTCATCAGCATAGAAATTGTGTGCTCGGGATTCGATGAAATCGATGTAGGCCGTTTTTGCCTGGTCGTGATTGGCGAAGGTTTCACCGATGAGAAAGCTATCGAAGTGCTTGGAAAGATGGTAGTCGATTGGCGAGAGATCTGGAAAGTATGGTGAGTGAGGCAGAACGCTCAATTTGTTTAATTTTTGGAAGGTGAATTGTGATTCGTGCAGACAAGCTTCTGTTGACATGTGCCGACTGTTGCTGACGCAATTTTTGGTACATTTCGTCTATTTCCTCACAAAAGTACTATAGTGTGATGGTTTGGCCCGTTTTTTTTTTAAATCTGTTTTTAAAATCTGTTTTTCCGTTAATTAACTGTCGCTCCCATGCGAACAGCAACCCTCAGAAGTTGAGGAACTTGTACGAGGTAAGGACTAACGAGATGTAATTCCTAACACGTTGCAGGAAGTAATAGTGAATCACATCACAACAGACCTCGAAATGTGACAACTTTTTGAGCTTTCTGACCTTTCAAATATGTTTATAACCATCAAAAACCGCATGGGAGATGACGCCATATTCCCACGCATGGTTTGTGTTGGGTCAGTCTCTTAAAACTCTCGTTTGACCACGACCACTTCGTGGCTTATTTTTGAGGCTGAAATCTCTGGAAATCTCAAAAACATGATATAGTAAAGAGCTGAAGAGATGCATAAATCAAAATTTGGAAAAAAATCAACAGCGTCAATGGATATTGCAGTGTGCTTGTGACTCGATTGATTTCAACGCGGCTCGACTGCATGTATGAAACCTCAATCTTAGAGAAGAATTGTTAGCTAGTAATAGCTCCATCTGGTGAACAAAGCCCCAAACGGGAAAGAAACATCCCATGCACCAATACTATTGACATAAATCAAAATGATGAAAACTGTATGGAGAGAAAATAATTATATCGAAATGAAATCTCAAAATATTCATATCTCGCAACAGCAACTTCATAGTAGGTTCTGGTAAATGCCTGCAGGAAAACAACTACTTTCCCAGTAACACGCTTGACATTAGATTATATCCGACTCTGTGAGGAATTCTCTATAGATGTCTATAGGATATAGACAGCAGCATTTACAAGAAACTACTGTGTAGGTATGTTGGGAGAGATTATTGTTTTGATTTTTTTTTTCTTATTCTTATAATGAGTTCAGGTTTATCGAAGTTAGAACTTTCACAACCACAGAGGAATTTTTTCACCTAAGAATGTATAGCTATAAGAGTTCCGGTATTGAAACTAATTCAAAATCCTTAAAAAAATATTATCCTTCAATAACTGAGTTGTTTCGTTCAAATGAAAAAAAAGTTATGATTGTTCATTTTCTCCAAAGGAATAAGACAATGTAAATTTTGAAAAAAAAAATTGTATGTTGATTTCTTTCCAGTTTCTTATGTCAACAGAAGAATAAAACATCAATGATATATTACTTATTTGAAAATTTTCAAAATTCGAAAATTAAACTCAATGCAATTATAGTAAAATATTTTATTTACAAAAATTGAAGTCACTAGGCCAGAAACAATAAATACAAATAAATACAATAAATTAAAATAAAAAACATTTTACAGAATATCCTGAAGAATATCGCATGTTTGAAGATGAAACCTCTTTAATGGAAAAACATATTTCAAGAGGTTCAACATTTCTTCCAACAAAAATGAAACATTGTTTAATGGAATGATTGAAAAGGAATAAATACAAATAAATAAAATGAAAGACAATGAGAGATTTTGCTAACAAATTGAATTTTGCTTCTAGAGATTCTCGGAAGGACTTATGAAACATTACCTACATATCACAATATAATACAAACTCGAAGGTCACGGGAAATTTTGTGACCCCAGACAAAAAAAAGATATTTTTTTTTCTAGGAAGTCCCTACATTTTCTATAAAATAAGCGTACACACTTAAAAGTTGGATTTCGTGTCTATAACATAAAATAAATTAAATAAATACACACTTAATCTATATCACAGATATTGAAAATCTAACTGGGCAAGAGAATACATTTAAGGAACTAGTAGTTCAGTTATTGGCTCTCAAATTTTACACTGCTTTGGTTTTTCGCCCTTTTCCAACAAGAGCCCAAGATTGCGCAAGAGAAGAAAGTTACTGCATATTTCTAGAATTTTTAGTCCTTTTTCTTCCCTTCGTTTTATTTTTCCTCACACCTTTACTTTTTGCGCCAACTTTTTTACCACCTCTCTTCTTTCCCCCGTTTTTCTTCATGCTTGTCTTCTTCAGCAACTTGAGGCTACGCTTGAAGAAGGTTTTCAGCCTTCGGAAGAAGTCTACGTCCATCATTTGTGCAGTTGAACTGTCGAATGATTTTTGCAAACACCCTTCTCTGAAATCAGGAACTTCTGGCTGAGTATACTCAACGCCAGAATGACTCTCGAAATAATGGGACAAAGTTATATTGAATTCACAAACGACTCTCCTCAAATTCAACCTGGTTTCCTCGTAAATTTCTTTTCTCAAAGAAGTGTTTAATTTCATGGCAGTTTCCACCGGAATCGCCATGAGTTTGTCGATAAACTTCCCCAACTTGATGATGATCTGGTAAAAGTTCTCAGTAATCTGAAAAAAAAAGAAAAATTGATTTTACCGATTTTGAAAATGTCACGAAGTTTCAATATACCGTTTGAGATTTTGCTATGATTCAGTGGAATAAAAATGTATAGGTGAAAAAAATTTAATCAAACTGAAAGCATTATAAAATGAGTAATTTTGAGAAATGTAACTTTTCAGAAATTTCCCATTGAAGATAAATAAAATTACTCCTACTAAAGTATTTTTAACCCTCTCACCTCTTTTGTTCCTTTGAATTTGTTGAGGTGTTTCATGAATGCTTTGATGTTGAAACACTTACAGCTGCCTGTACGTTCATTCTGCAAAAAAAACGGAACCTTTCAATTTATTGTTAAAGGTTTTGCCGAAAAAACAAAATTTTTTTCATGTTAACTGAGTTTTGCAATTGATAACTTGAATATGACATTTCTATGAGGTTGGTGAAATTACGACAAACAGAAATTCAGTAAAACTATCTATATATCTATCTATGAAATATGTTGCAGATATGCTTAATATGTTAAATATACTTGAAATATACTCACTCTAAGATGATGAGGATACAGTTTCGCAAGGCTTTCTTTGATGATATTCTGTTCAATTAATTTGCCGAATATTGTCATTTGTCTGTTAGTTTTATTAGTGTCAATCCCCGAACTTCTACTGTGTCTAATTTGTCTGCCACAGGAATTTGTCCAGAATTCATCTGATTTCTGATTGAGAGGCATGGGTGCTGTGGCACTTAGTCCTGTCAGAAGAACTACGATGCACATGAGCAAAGTGCGATTGTCTGTAACAAAAAATATCCATAAGTACTATATACATAAAGTTTGCAACAGCATGTAATTTTATAGTCTAAAAATATTGTACCAGATTATCTACTCGGTTATATCAATTCAAGACTTGAAGCTTAGGTAATTAGTATATCATAGGGCTACATTTTGGAACATTCAATTATTATTGATTGTGATTTCAATTAACTTTGGATTCATATTGATATTGAAATTGATATGATCGGAATCGACTGAAGAAATTTAATAAAAAAAAATTAGATTTGCTAAACATTTGTCTAGAATTTTGTCTCAAAATGATGATAATAAAATACTGAACATATTTGCGTGTGCTGTCACGTTCCAGGAAAGTCCGTCTCCAAAAGAGATAAAAAGTATGATAGAAAGAAATTATATTTACTGAAAATTTGTTCACTCAATGATAAAACAATTGATAAAAATATATAATTGCATTGAATACATTAGAGTGTGCTAACAATATTCTGAAAAGTGGTCCTCAATCATCTTTTCATTTTCCAAGAAAAAATGAAAATTACTGAATAAGAAAACAAATCTCATGAACAATGGTTCTCTTGCCAAACACCAATTATTCAGATTTTGTAATATATTTCGTCTTTATTAGTTCACTTTCCATCATGTTGATACCAATAGTTGAATAAGTATTTAAATCCATCATATTCGTGATTTTGTTTTAAGAGTTTTGAGATCATAAAGAGTTCTGAATTGGAAACACCGAACCACGAATTCAGGTGACACATTAAGTCAATATGTCACAATTACTCAATATGGAAATGGATGATTAACACACCACCAATTTCTCAATGAATACCATTATTTATAAGGCATGACTAACTTCTGTAATATTTCATGTTTGAACGATCTACAAATATATCGGTATGCAAATTCAGACAGTGAGGAAAATTTTGAAAATGTCTTTGAATATACAGAACTTTCTTTGACCTAAAATTGAAGCAACAACTCACGCGAAAAACCGCAAAGTTTAACAGAGAATCCCTTCCATGAAGCGCACTTCGAAACATTCACCAAAGTCATTTTCACCGAACATGAGGACACCGCGCACACTATGAAGGTACACCAAATATTAGCAGACTTGTTAGCAGACTAACCGACTGACTAAGACTAAACTATAGAAGAGTGGACACCGAGGTCCAGCCTCCCATGATGAATCCGTCATCAAGATGTTGAGTTAAACGCTCCGCTATTGTTTTTTATTGTTTTCCATAGGTGGCTAGAATTAATTGTTGCAATGCGTGGAAGGGGTAATATTTAGATATTTGTAAGTGCTGCGGAAACGACGGGTTACTCGACTCGAATACGATTTTTGATAAATGCATATCGTAGCGATACTACTCGGTGTAATAGTTCAGGTGACTAACTCTCAATTATATATTCAGTGGCGGAAAGTTATGATAGTCAATTCGAGTGAGTGAACAAAGCACCCACGCCGAACCGCTTGGCTACCGACTGACCGTTTCTATAAATTATTTAGTACCTATCATATGTCATCTTTCTCAAAATCAACTGAATGAAAAAATTCAATCTTTGCAACTGACAAAATATTTTTGAACTACAAGCTACAACCAAAATGGGGTCTACTGACTATATTTTTCACATAACAATATAATTTTATGGAAAATATTAACAACACTGAGGACTAAGTGAAACAGTTAGTTTTCGTTATTCAACTACGAGTAGGTATGGAGTTTATCATTTCGCGATGAATGACTCAATTGTTTTACCTAAACAAAAACGATTGTGAAGTACCTGTGAGTAAATTTTCTACGGAAACTCAATTGAGAAGCCACAATAACAAGTTATAATAATAAACGATCATTTTGCAAATTTGTTTCAAATCCAACAAACATTTCAATAAATACGATTCTAATTCAAACGATAAAGTAATTCAACGAATGTAATTACTGTTTTCTATTTGCATAAACAATTTGATAACTACTTGTCATACAGAAATTACAGAAATACTTATTCAAAAACGGGACATCGAAAATTGCATTGAAAATCTCATCAATATCCGTAGTTGTTACCTTCAATGAAATTATCCGTGCAAATTTGTGTAAAACACTTTTATATTTCAAACTAAAACACTAGAAATTACGACCACTAATTGAATGGAATTCGTATCCAAACGAGAGGGGAATTTTCCCGCGCCAAATTGCCGGCACACTCGATACAACACGTGAAACAAAACACAATCACCTACGACAAGCTTTCCCAATAATCCGCACTTATCAGGGAGTTATTTACCTGTGTTAGACCTCAACGAGACTGCCATCGATTGTAATTTGAAAGTAGAGTTGCGGCTATATGTGTAAAATCACTTTTCACTATCTCAAATATGAATCATCAGTTAGGAGGTGACGGCTGGTGTTTAGTTGTTAGGCATGTGTCTCCTCTTTTTATAGTCCCCCACATTTCTCGGGAAACTACGTGCAATAATTATAAAGATAGTCAATCGAAGGTTTGGGGGATGGAACGGGGTCAATTTAAATGTAATCAATGTTATTTTATTCAACAGAGTAACTTCAAATCACTGAGCATTAAATATCATATTTCAAATGGTCTCTGCGAGAAAAAAACATGACTGGAAAAGTTTGCAGTTTTATTTCAATATACGAAATATATCAAATAGTGACGTTTATGAAATTTATGAAAATTTCAGAAAACTATTAGAGTGTGTCAACATTTCAAAATACACTTTTTCGAATAAAAAGGTTATTCTACAAAAAATGAATAATTTATTACTTTTGGAAATTATCACCATCCCAACAAATACAAAGCAAGCACTTTTTCCAATCATCAGAACTGCAATACTCTTCTAGACGCCTATTTCATTAAAGGAGTTGGCGTTTTCAGGGAATCTTAGTTTTCTTCATCTCCGGATGAAGCCAACTTGGTTGATGAAACTCGTGTTGAAAAGAGTATTCCATTTCTGGTTTGGTATATTATACGCCAGACACTTCAGTTTTACTTTTCATCCTAGCAACGGTTTGATAATAAAAAGTACACTCAATTAAATGATATAGATATAGAAATAAAATACTTTGTCTAATTTCCAGTTACTTAATGTATTGATATTAATACGACCAAGGTTTCGGTTTTTATACCATTCTCAAGTATTCTAACACTAGAGTAGTGTTAGAGTTCAATTTATTGAAGATGAATTTCCACAAAATAAATAAGTCATCAATATCACAAAAAAGTACACTCAATCATTTATCAGTTTTTGTCTCACTTTGCTTCAAAAAATAGTTCGTAGTTAGTCAATAATACCATTCAAATTAGTCTTTTCATATGTTAAGACGATATGAAGCTACAGGTCAGTTGGGAAGCTTGTTACAAAACAATTATTGATGAAGTTGATGATAGTTATAATAATTATTTTCAGGGAGGGTTTGAAATATTGTGCTTGTGACAAGAAAACTAATGAGTTAACTTTTAGGAGATGGAAAATGGTTTTTCGTATTTTCCATCGGAATCAATCCTCTTCAGGTTGTATTTGATGGAAAGATATACAACTGTAGTGAGAAGTATTCCTTCTTGATAATTTTTTCAATGTACGGGGACTGTTATAAGTAGTCTTTATGTGTTCACGGAGTTTTTTGTTGATATGGATATTTTATAAATATACTGCAGGAACAGATGATCTGACAATTTCCTCTGCATTGAATTGATTCACAATATTCGACAATCTAATTGCCTTACGATTTTATTGTGAAACTTTCGATTTTCTCGCTCACAGCACGGTCATGAATATTACTGACTCTTCTTCATCGATTATTCATGTGAGCATAATGTCTCAAATATCACAACCTCAATTATTTTCGCGCACACCATGATAACTGCCATAACCTAATAAATCGAAAGTTGTCAATTTCTTCAATTTTTGTGAATGGTAAATGGTGTAGCTAACACTATTTTGATACTTTGTTTTAATATATTAGTGTATTTATTTTGCTGTGGTCAAGTATAAGTATAGTGAGAGAAATTTTATTGAATTATGTATCACTCCAGTTATTTAGGAACTGAGTGAAAAATTCTAGGGACAGTTCTAGAAAAGTTTCAATAACAAAATGGTATACAATCTGTTCAGTAAATTTGTCACTTCCATGTAGTACTTTCATGGATTTTCAGAAGTAGTATAAATACCCATATTTACCTTTTTTGGAGGAAGTCCATTGAATTTCTAGAAGAATTTCCTCGATGCAGGGTGCATTTTTTGAAGAAACAGAAACATGAGTCATCACCACTGAACAAAACATAAATGTATGAAAACGATGATGATTTTCACACAGTCTCAACTGGAGAATAATACCTCCAGTAATTGAATGAGTCAATCAAATATTAATTTCATCATATATACTATCAGATTTGATATGAGAGATAAGAGTAGGCAATAATCGGAAGTAATGTGGATATTTCAGGAGTGGGGAGGATTATAAAACTGTAATTTTATTGAGATAAAGTATCAAAATCACCTTGACTTTTTAAATTATTGAATAATCGGCAGTGGCACTGTTTTTATAACTCAACTACAGTATTTTCGTATTGAATGGAATAGCCAGGTAGATTTTTTTTTTCCTAAAGCTGGATTTACACAAATTATTTGAAAAAAATGGGGAATGAAATATATTCCACTCGCGTATATACTAGTGAATGAATTAGATGAACTCGTCAAGAAAGGATGATTCAAAATTTAATCGATTTGATGAAAAAAAACATTCACATAAGTAAAGAACTTCACTGGGTCAATATTCTGCCTTTATTGTGTTAGATGCAAACCGGGTCGAATTCGGTTTGTTTCTGTCATTCATCAATTTCTTCATTTTAGAATTTATTCAATCCATCTCTCACTTCTTTTTCTTTTTATTTCAATGTCATTTTCAATTATTTACATTCCCCTATTCCCCATAATTTTATCACTCCACGTATCACCTTTCTGTCTTCTCACAATCCCAATTAGTGTTCACTAGATAAATCCTCATCGTCACCTGAATTTTTAAATTCCTTCTTATTGAGACCTTTTACCCATCTATCTCAATCGATACCTCTTTTGTTCTTCCTTTTCTGTCTTCACTAATCTCTATTTCATTTTCAAATCTGACTTATTGAAGCAGGAACACGTTGTTGATTTTTTTGAAACCTTATTTCCTTTCATTTTCATCCATGTTATTTGTTCTTATTCCTCAATTGTTATTCAACCTCTTGTGTTATATTTTTATATTTTTTGTTCTCATTCTAAATTATTGTATTGTGACGGATTGTTTGCTTCGTCCTCTCTCAAGAAAAACCTTCAGGAGAGCTTCAGTGTATTCCATTTTCTTTTCTACATTTGAAGCTATTCTTCCTTTTTATATCTTTTAGGTCATATAATATATCTCCTATTCATAATTCATAGAAAATATAAGGAGAGTGGTCTGGATTTTGCTTATCAAAAATTAGAAATTAACCCTATGAAGAAACATAGTTCAATATTGAAACAGTAGTATATTTCATATTTCAATTATTTTCATTCGTGACAAAGGCACTATGGAAAAAACAATTATTGCAAAAATTGAAATGAATTAGAGAACCAATAACAAAAATGAAGTGAGACGATACATGTCAAAATTGAGAAGCTGGAAGAAATTGAGGTGGATGGAAGCTAGGAAATGATCCACGGAAAGATCTGGTATAGGTACTGAGAACTGTTCCAAAATTGATAGCAGAGAGACACGAGAGCAATAGAAAATTGGGATTTGTAGTTTAGATATTTTTCTTAAACTACGGTGGTTCTTCGAAATAACAATGAAGGAGATAAGGAAACATTTTACGAAATAACTAGAAAAACAGATCGAGAGGTAAATAGATGAATTTGCATGAATGAAATAATTATTGATATGTAGAAGAGGTACTTATATGAAGCAGAAAGAACCGATAACACAAGATGAACGGGTACAATTGATGTTGAAAGAAAATGGGAAAACGGAGAGTTATGTAATCAGTTTTTGTAATGAGAGTGATAAAGAAAGCACCAGAAGAAGCAATGCAATAGTTTACAAGTATTCAGGTAACTGAACCAAAATAACCAAGGTCTTCAAAACAAGGTAATAAGAAAAGTTCAACAAAAAAATGATGAAATATGTGGTGTTGGTGATTCAGAGACACGGTGGAAAGCGAGTTAGAAAAAGATCATTGTACGAGTTTCAGGAGAGGTGAACAAACTGAAATAAAAATTCGCGCCTACACCAGTTTCCACAAGGTCAGATTTATCGGTATTAGTGAGACCGTCCCGGGGCAAAACTCAAGCTCACAACTTTTGATTGAATGTAATATAATATAAATATAAAATATAAATCAAAGTTGAGAAATAATATGAATCAAAAATCAGGTATCATTTAATGCAAATTTTTCTCATCGGTGACAGGCCAAAATGATAATGGTAATTGACAAAAATAATTACATTTGTGATGAAAGTATGGAGTTTTCGAGACGACAGTTGTACCCTGTTCTAATATGGTACCATTTCCAGATTCCATGGTCATTTGGGTGTGGTACCTAGATTCAAAGCAAACAAAATATGTATATGTCGTTTACGTCAAACGATTTCATTTCCTGCCTTGACCCTAGGATTCCCAGTTACGGTCGAGAGACTAATAGAACATCCTTGTACACGTATTATTGTTTGCCTTTATGATATATGAAGTGAAGTCACTAACACGAGGCTCATAGTTTTCATTATAGTAAACGCGTAGTGTGTCAAGTGAATGAATTCATTCACTAGTTTCAGTTATTTAGTAAGGTTATTATAAATATTTCACACTTCACTTCATTGATGATTCAGTTTTCATGTTGTGGATTTCTTTATTCTATCACAGGTATCGCCAATTTAGTCTATATAAATTGATTATTTGAATAATGGAAATATTTTTCCATTATTTATTCAACACGTCAAAAGATCTTTAGTAATGTTTTCTTTTTCATCTAGAGAGTGTTAAAAACAACCCAATAAGTTGAAATGGGTATCTTCTCAGTTATTTCTATATTTTTAATCAATAAAATGAAAATCAATACTTCAAATCACTGATTTCTTTTTGAAGGTAGCACCTGATAGATTGAAATCTTGAGTCTGTGAGTGGCACTCACAGAAATCTTGAGTCTATCAACTGGTGAAGACATTGGTTACTTTTTTCCTTCCGAGTGAAAGGAGTTCAAAACTTAGATTCTGTATAAATGGCTAACGAT